CATGGGAGATGGAACTCTGCTTTCAAAGCTTAATCTCCCACAGAAAGACTAACCTCAGCCTGAAAATCACTCAGGGAGAAACTACATAACTGGGCATTAAAGCCAAGACTCAAAACCACGTGCCCTGGCTGGAGATGGCTCAGTGGTTCAGCTTTTTGCTTAAGCTCTGCTTTTCAAGAGGACCCAGGTTCAATTCCTAGCACCTGCATGATATCTCACAAGCTTTTGTAAATCCAGTTCCGGCAGATCCAACGCCTCTTCTGCCCTCCCCGAGTACACGGTGCATATGTATCCACGCAGACAAAACACTCAGAAATTCATACCCACAAAATAAGTAAACCTAACAACAACAAGACAGTCCCCAAATTTCCCTGATTGTCTGTGGTTATAAAAGAAAGAAACCCAAGCCGGGCCTTGGTGGCACACGCCTTTAATCCCAGCACTCGGGAGGCAGGGGTAGGCGGATCTCTGTGAGTTCGGGGCCAGCCTGGTCTCCAGAGCGAGTGCCAGGATAGGCTCCAAAGCTAGACAGAGAAACCCTGTCTCGAAAAACAAAAAAACAAAAACAAAAAACAAAAAAACAAGAAAAGAAAGAAAGAAAGAAACCCAAGCCAGGACAGAAGGAAGGAGGCTACCAGCTTAGCTTAGGCCCCTGCTCCCAGACTACAAATTTCAGCCAAGCTGTCTCTTCATCGGCTACCCACCCCCACCCAGGGTGCTCTTTGCATGAATAATCAGTCATCCCTCACTCCCCACCAACCCCACCAAGGGTGTTGTTTGTATAAACACTGGGTCACCCCCACCCCTACTCTGGGCGCTCTTGGCGTGAACACTCCGTCAAACTTGCTCACTAATTTCTTTGAGGTCCCTGTCACTGTAGCCTCATCCTCCTGTCTCTACCATCTGTATGGACACCAAGTCACCTGCTGCCTATTCTCATATGTTTGTATTTCTCACACTTTCCTCTCCTTCTAGAGGGTAAACTCCATGACAGCAGAGACATAGTGAGCCTTCAATAAACACTGAATGAATGAATGAGTGAGTGAGCTCATACTGGCAGAGGGTCAGTGTGAAGGGATGAACTTTGCCTTAGTAACAGCTACTCCTGGGACACCATCTCCTTTGCTCCGAGCTTTCTCTATCGCTCTACACTAACTTAAAAAATTCATCCCTGGGAGGAGAGGCTTCGGTCAGGATGTAAAACAAAGAAACAAACAAATAAATAAAAATTCGTCCCCAAACTGATCGTTGGGTGACCTCAAAGCTGAGACGTGAGGTGGCGGGAGCAAGAGCTCCTTCCTAGTCCACACTTCCTAGTCCACAGCTGGTGAGTATGGGTGGATGAAACCCCACTCGGGCGGGTGGCTGCTCCCCCTCTCTGTGGTTCCTGTGCTGTATCTCAGGGCTTGGCTGGCTTTTGGCGCTGCTCACACACTTCACCAATCGACAGAAGACACTGTCACTGTCACTCTGGCCTGCTTCTGTCCTTGCCTTGCAACCCTGAAGACATTCTGCCGTCTGCCTGGGACTGTTGTGTGGGTCTTGAGTATCTGAAAGCCAGGTCCGGTGTGTAGTTCTTACGCATTGGTTCATAAACTATTTGGGGGTGGGGCAGGAAGTGTTAGCCATGAGTTCAGACTCCATAGGCGTCAAACAAACGACCACCCAAAGCTCTCCCAGTCACACCAGCTCTTTATTGTGAGCCAAGCGCCTTGATAATGGCAATTATTCCAGGCTGTAAATAAATTTACATTCTGCTGCTCAAGAAGCATGACCGTGTCAATTATGCCTCCCACATGGAAAAGCCATTTAAATGATATTTGTCATTTGATTGTCTTTGAGTTTAAAGGCCTCATTATGTTCAGACACTGAGTCAGTGATGAGCCCAGATTTCTTTCCACACCAGCTTGAGGAAATACATACCTTCATTCATTCAGCTGGTATTTATTGAACACCTTCTGCTGGCGAAGCCATTTTCAGCCCTGTGATTGAAATGTAGTTAAGGAAAGGGCCTTACTCTCACATGGCCAGCACCTAGAGGTAAGGAGATGGACAACCGGAATGTCAAAAGGATACTTTCTCAGGGTGGATGTTTCTGAAGGGACGTCAAGGCTGCATGAGTTAAAAAGGAACTGGAGGACACTGTTAGCCTGGAAAAAGCACCTGCCTAATGGTCAAGATTTAAAAAAAAAAAAAAGATTGATAATGGAAAACTATTTTATAGATCTATTAAGAAAGATAAGAGAGCTAGGAGGTGGTGGTGCACGCCTTTCATCCCATCACTTGGAAGGCAAAAGCAGCAGGGTCTGTGAGTCTGGGGTCAGCCTGGTCTACACAGCCTGGTCTACACAGAATAGATAGGAGAGACTCAGGCTCTCTCATGCATCCTAGTGAGACACACACAGAGAGAGAGAGAGTTGATGGGGCAAACAGAATCTTGGGATACAAGATCTTTCTCCGTAGTGAGTTGTAGCACTTGATTTTGGGGGCTTTGGATAAACATTTCAGATGTCTGTCAGGATTGTAATGGGAGCATGGATTCTGGGCCAGCATGTGGGGAAGGGACCAGCAATTTGGAAACGGGGGGAAAACAACAACAACAAAAAGCCATCCCCTTGATAACTGATTGGAAGTGGGGATTAAGGAGAAGAGGACCACGAAGGGACAACACAGCTTTGCCAACTGAATAGTGACTGCCCCAACTCGTAGAGGTGGTGTTGGCAAGAGAAGCAGCCTGGCCAGGTCGTGGGGGAGTGGAGACCAGATACTGAGTTCAGACTGGTGTCTGCAACTGCCCACATACAGAGCAGGTTGGCAGGTTCCTGGGGGCTCATTTGCATGAGAGAGACACAAGTTTTATAAGCGTGATTCGTGGAGAAATCCTGGAAGTGGCTCACAAGTAAAGTGGACTTATGAACTCTAACCAGTGAATATCTGCAGCTCTGATTGGGTGTTTTTCTTTAAACTTTCAAACAGGGAAAGTAAATGAGATGACAGTCCCTGACTCATTGGCACCATAAAAATAG